GAAGAGCTGCAAGGTCAGTGCAGGGCTGGCAGTGCCAGTGGAGAGAGACCTCGAGCTCCCTGCCCAGAGCCGGCAGCGTTCAGCTTCAGCACTGAAAAAGTCTCCGGAATATCTGGAAATGCAGGACAGGTATCAAGACGCTTTTTCTTTTTTCCTCTTCTCTGCGTTTTTGGAGATCTCGGGAGCATCAGGAGAATGCAGGTAGGCTATTTCACACGGGGACGCCGCTGCTTGGAGCTGTCTGTGCCGGGAGAGGGTAAATAATAACAGGCACCGGCACGTGGAAAGCCGTGGCGTGGCTGTGGCTGCGGCGTGGCTCTGGTGCGTGGCTCACAGCCTGCCCACTGCGGGCAGGGTCCAGCGAGGAGCAGTGGGGTGGGTGAGCCCAGGGGTCGGGGCAGCTCAGCGTCAGCCTCCCTCAGCTCTGGGAGGTTCCTGAAAGGGGTTTGGGGCAAGAAAGCGTGATTTGCTTTTCTCGAGAATGTGCATTTCAACTGTAAAAAATGTGTTTGTCCCTCTGGTTTCAAAGCGAGTTTTTTGGTGTTAGTCACCGTCTAAACTGATGAATTTCTAACTTGCAATCAGTTATAAAATAATGTGAGTCTTTGTGTGGTTTATTTAGTAGATGCAGGTCTTGACTCTGACAAGGTACATCATGCTGAACATCTCCAGTACAAAGCAGGGAATCCATAAACTGTACTGTTAACCTGTGACTGTAGGATTCCTGGTGTGGGAATATAAAATGAGCCTCTGCGTTAGGTGTAAGGAAGGCAAAACTGGCACGTCTTCTGACCTGACAAACAAGTGAGGGGCAGCAGCACATCCAGCCTCCACAGCATCCTCTGCTTATGACTGCTCCACTTTGGTGCCTTCCTCCTGCACTGAGGGGTGGCTGTCCCCATGCTGGTCCTCACCGGTGCAGCCAGCAGAGATGCAACTGAGTGTGACTTGGAGCCTATGCAGGGAAAAGGACTGGGTCAGGGCCACTGGGACTAACTGGTGTGTCCGCTGAGGGCAGCGGGAGGCAGGGTGTTTTGTGGGGAGCAGTGGGGTTGCAGCATCAGGGAGGGCTGAGGGGCATGGCAGGGAGTGGTATGGTAGCCCCGGGGAACGTCATGCAACTCTGGGACCGGTGGCCCTGCAATGTCAAGGGTCAGCGCCATTTTTAACCTCGAGGCAAAGCACCCTGCTTTGCCCATTGCAAAGGTCCTGCACACTGGAGAGGAGAACATCTGTTTACTTGTTAGGGTGCTTGGTGTAGCACCAGCGGATCCTGCACCAGGACCTGAGTTGGTTCTTCGGATGGTACCTGTGACGGGCAGTCTTTCAGGGCTGGCTGGCACCGAGGCTTGGCGTCATGGAGTGGGAGGAGGACTTCTGTGGCGGTGGAGCAATTCGCAGGCATCAGAGGGAATCCGGTCTCCGCTGGGGGAGAACCCACAGCTCAGTCTGGAGCCCACCCCTCCATGCTCCAGTCTGCACAGGGTGCTGGCCCTGGTGTCCCGTCCCTGCTGCTGCTTCTAACCCACCGGCACAAGGAGAACACCAACAAATGTGGGGACAGAAGAAGCAGCAGAAGCAACTCTCCTGCTCAGGGTACAGTGCACAGTTCAGGTTCCCCTGCTACCTCGCCTTCCCTCTCCAAGGCGCAGGGCTTCCCGGGAGCCCTACCATGCCATGCTCCTCTGCCCCGATGTCCCCAGGGAGAGCTGCCTGCTGGAGGACTGCCTGCCTGCCAGTGGGCAGGGCCTGCTATCTCTGTGTCGCTTTTTGGTCTTTGTGTAAAACCACCAAAACTCATGAACGTTCTCTTTCGGTTTTGATGCTGCACTGAGGACTGGTGAATATCGTGAGCTTTGTATTTAGGGATGAAACAGCTTTTCTGGAGCGGGAGAATGAAAGCTAATTCGGAATATGCACCGAAACTTCCATAGCTACCAGACAAGATTTTCAGGTCTTCGTAGGTCAAGTACCAAGGGACAGCAGCATCGGGAAGCCCTCACACCGTATTACTCATTTGGTCTCTCTATTGAGGTGGTGCTTTTGCCAGCTGAACAAAGTGCACCTGACAGACCCTTGTTGCTTTCTTCCAGCACGCTCCTGTGCCTGGCCTCTGTGGTTCCCCACCTGCGGCGTTGGAAGGATTCCCTGCAGGGCCCTCCTGGAGGCTTCCCCGGGCCTTTCTCAGCAGTTCTTGCTTTCTGCACCTTGATGGAGGTAAGCCAGCTGAAACACTAATCCAGCAGACTCGTGAGCTGAGGCTTCTCTGCACATGGGGGCCTCCCCAGCAGAGCGTAGTTTAGCCATGTGCCTACTAACATTACCCGTTGTTGTAATTTCCACCAAGAAGAAATCCCACATCCAGTGTAGAGTCCTTGTTTTAAAGAATCACGCCACCTCTGCTACCTTCCATTCCTCCAGTACCAATGCTGCTTTAAGCAACGGGATACAGTAAGAGGTAGCCACTGGGACCTCCAGTTCCCTCCTCACCTCTCCTGGGTAAGGCATGCAACGTCAGGCAATGCTGACCTGGGTTGGATGGACGCTCCTGATTTTCCACTCCTGCCAGCGTTGAGCTCTGTGACAGTGTGAGCTGTTGAGGCTGATGTCGTGACCCGCGTTCTGAGCTGCCAGCTTTGTCCCACCCTTTCTCAGTTTTGCACAAGAAGGGCGAGGTGCGGGCAGAGGTCTGCGCACTGCTTTCTGAACAGGTCTGTCAAGGCACTGGTCCGCCATCAGCATCGCGTTACCAGCCTTGGCACATCTGATGGATGTGCCTGACGTTAACAACAGCTTGTCTGCATGGGGCTTATTGCCTGATGGTTGTAGATAACAACAGTTGTAAGCAAAGTGTGTAAAATCTTTAAATCTTTAACAAATCTCTCATTAATCCCAGCTAAGTAGATTAAAGCTGACTGCAGGCTTTAAAAGGAAGCAAGCCGATCACTTGTAGGACAGAGAAAATATATACAATGAAAAACAGTCAGACAGATAGGGTGCAATGTGCAGTACCTTTGTTCCTGGTCTAGATAAAACTGGGATGGCAGTCAGGCCACTGGACCTGGGTTCAGTGGAGCCAAAGATTCGATGAGATGAGACTGTATAGCATGACTCTGTATAGCATGATTCAAGAATATGGAAGATGCTACAGACGGACCTTTATGTGCTGCGGATTCAGGAAAGGAAGCAGTTCTGCATGAATAGCATCTTCAGAAAAACAAGGCAGGATGCTGAAATCCCAGATGAAAATCAGGATCCTTCTCAAGGTTCAGCCTGATGTTAGGGCCTGTTCATGGCCGCTGGAACTCTCTCTGCAGTGGTCACTGGAACTGATCTGTGTTTGTAGACATAACTCTGATTGGCAATGAAGTGGTTAAATATCTTTGCTAAATGCAATTCAGCCAGATATTTACATT